TTCCCACCTGCAGCAGCAGCTCGGCCATTTCCAGGCTGCCGCTCTCCACGGCGTGCAGCAGCGGCGAGCGCCCGCTCTTGATGTCCTGCGAGGGCCAAAACCCCCCAAAATCGGGCTCAGGGACCCCCAAAATCCCCCTCGGGACCCCTCCCAAAATTTTCGGCATCCCCGAAAACCCCCGGGAGCCGAAAATTCCCAAAATTCCCCGAAATTCCGCCAAAATCCCGCTAAAATTCCCACAAAATCTGCCGCAAAAATGTTACAAAATGTCCCAAAATCGCCCCAAAATCGGGGTCAGGGACCCCCAAAATCCCGCTCGGGACCCCTCCCAAAATTTTTGGCATCCCCAAAAACCCCCGGGAGCCGAAAATTCCCAAAATCCAAAAAAATCCCCCCAAAATCCCCAAAATTCCCCCAAATCTCCCAAACTCATTGAAAATTCAAAAATAATCTCCCAAATTTCCCCAAAATCTCCCCAAATCTCCCAAAATTGGGCTCAGGGACCCCCAAAATCCCGCTCGGGACCCCTCCCAAAATTTTTGGCATCCCCAAAAACCCCCGGGAGCCCAAAATTCCCCAAATTCCCCAAAATTCCCCCAAAAATTCCCAAAATCCTCCCAAAAATTGCAAAAAATCCCCAAAAATCCGAATATTTTCCCAAATTCCCCCCAAAATTCCCCAAAAATTCCCCCAAATCTCCCAAAATTTTTGAAGATTCCCCAAAATTCCCAAGTTTTCTCAACATCCCCCCAAAACTTCCAAAATCTCCCAAATTCCCCCAAAAATTCCCAAAAAAATCCCCCAAAATCCCAAAATTTCCATAATTTTTCCAGAAAATAAAAAAAATCCTGAAAAATCTCCCAAAATTCTTGAAAATTCCAAAAAATCTCCCAAATTTCCCCAAAATTCTCCAAAAACCCACATATTTTTCCAAATTTCCCCCCAAAATTCCCAAAAATCACCAAAAATCCCTAAAAAAATCCCAAAAATCTCCCAAAATTCTTGAAAATCCCCCAAAATCCCCCAGATTCCCCAAAATTCTCCCAAAATTCCCAAAAAAAATCCCCAAAAATCCAATTATTTTCCCAAATTCCCCCCCAAAATGCCCAAAAATTTCCAAAAACCCCCCAAAAATTCTTGAAAATTCCCCAAAAACCCCCAAAATCCCCAGAAAATTTCAAAAAAATTCCCAAAAACCTCCCAAAAATCCTTGAAAATTCCCCAAAAATCCCCAAAATCCCCAGAAAATTTCCAAAAAAAATCCCAAAAATCCCCCCAAACCCCCCCAAAATTCAAATTATTTCCCCAAAAATCCCCTTTAAACGCCCCCAAACCGCCGCCAGATGCCCCAAATTTTTCCCGGATTTCCCCGGAATTCCCGAATTTCCGGGAACTTTCGGGATTTTTCGGGAATTCCGA